TGTGTGTGTGTGTGTGTGTGTGTGTGAGTGAGATTGACCTCTCCAGCTGCTGAGGGCTCAGGTTGGCTGCAGGAGCTCCAGCTCTCCGGTGGCGCAGCAGGGACGCTGCTACATCTCTCTTCAGCAGCACATGAGGGGCAGGAGTTCCTGAAAACACACAAAACACTCTTTCAGTTCAGCAAATATAATCACAAACTATTAGTCTGTGGATGAAACACACTGACACACACAAGACAGTCTGTTCCTCACCTTCAGCACTGACGGAGTTGGATTCAGACGAGGAAGAGGCAGAATCTGAGGTGGAATCTGATGCGGAATCAGACGCGGAGTCGGATGCGGAGTCGGACTCAGAGGAAGATGAGGATGCTAAGGAAGATGAGGATGCTGAGGAAGAGTCGGAATCAGCCGGAGCTCCGGTGGGAGGAAGCACCACCTCGGCTGCAGGTTCATCTGCGGCGTCTGGCTCTGTGTACACTACACACACACACAGCACACTGATAAGAGCTCTCACACACACACACACACACACACTTCAGTCACAGTGATGTCATGATGAAAGTACCTCACCTCCCATAGATGCGCAGACAGACAGCAGAGCGCAGACGCTCAGGAGGCTCAGAGTCTTCATGGCTCTTCAGGTCTGGGTTTGTTCTTCAGTCAGTTGATGGTGATGCTGGTCTCTCGTGTCTGTCATCCGTCTGCTCAGCGGTGTGTTTATACTCTCACTGTCACCCACACACACTGCTGCTGGAGTCTGTGATTGGTTTGGGAATTGAGTAACAGACTTGCCCCTTTCTGCATTCCAAAAACAACACACACACACACACACACACACACACACACTCACACACACACACGCACACGCATGTTCCAGCAACCACAGGCTGGCATACAGACACATGCACCTAAACATGGGAAACGGGGCCAAAACCACTAACAAACATGGCATGAACGGGCCGTCACAGAGTGAACCGTCGCTGGCTGAATTTAATGAAATACTCTCCATATCTGTGGGAAATGTAGGCGATGCTTCTAAATGCAAAACATATATTTTTCAGCCAAACTCTGAGCAACAGTCATTGCAGGGTCCAAAATGTTCCTGGACCGGGCCAGATGGATGCTCAGGGAATCAGGAAACTGCTATATGAGGAAAACCTCATGGGAAACGGGAAAAACCTGCGGATCCGTGTGCGTCTGTCACGTCTGTTATGTAAGAACCGTTTGTGCCGATATTCGTCCAGCAGGTTTCATCCAGCATCTGCCATAAAACGCATTTATTTCCGTTCTACCTAAATACATCAGCTCAGTAAACAGAATGTGGGTCACATCACGTGAAACGTGTCATTAGGGTTTACAGGGATCCCCCACAATGCTCCACTTCAGTCATGGGCCGATATATATATATATATATATATATGGAATATATACAGATGTTTGTGTACCATAGACTTGTTTTGTTTATATTTAAAGCTCATTATAATGACTAACCCTAAACTTCAAAACTTCAAAAACACATATTTACATTATTTATGAGCCACTTTTCTTTTTGAGCGTGTGCCAAATGGAGCCGCATTTAGCTGACATCTGGGGACATTTCTCAATAAATCTGTGCCCAAACCTCTAACCAGCTCCCATTTTAACTCGGGGCATTTTCTGAGGCCAGGTGTACTTTTACAGGCAATTATATTTTACCTTAAAGGTCATACAAATGCATGAAATGCTATACAGAATACCATGAGATAATGGAGCTGTAGTCTCACAGGGATTCAGGTTCGAGCCAGCACCATCATATGTCCTCTGCCGCCCTACTGTCCCGTCAAAGCCCTGAAAACAGACAGACAGACAGACAGTCAGACAGTCAGAGAGACAGACAGACAGACAGACAGACAGACAGTCAGAGAGACAGACAGACAGACAGACAGACA